TCCAGGATCATAACATCCCCAGGGCCAACAAGGAGATTAGAGCTAGCAGGAGGATTCGGGGAGGGTAGGGGGAGAAATGGGGACTCGATCACAAGAATCAACCCATAACCCTTCCCAGGGGGACAAACAACGGAAAAGTGAGTGAGGGATGACGGAGGATGATGTAAGATATGAAAATAATAATCTATAATTTATCAAGGGTTTGTGAGGGAGGGTGGGGCAGGGGAGGGAGTTGGAAGAAATGGGGAGCTGATATCAGGGGCTCAAGTGGGAAGAGAATGCTTTGAAAATGATGATGGCAGCATATGTGCAAATGTGCTTGACACACTGGATGAAATGTATGGATTGTGATAAGGGATATAAGAGCCCCCAATAAAAGTATCTAATAATAATTTTTCAAAAAGTACCATGGCCTGCCAAAAGGACATATATGACTGTCTTGGAAGAAGGACAGTCACAATGCTCCTTAGAAGCCAGGATGGTGAGCCTGTGTCTCACGTACTTTGGACCTGTTGTCAGGAGAGACCAGTCCCTGGGGAAGGGCATCATGCTGGGTCAAGGAGAGGGGCAGTGAGAAAGAGGAAGGCCCTCAGCAAGACAGACGGACACACTGGCTGCCACATGGGCTCCAACAGGAGAGCAATGGGGAGGCTGGCGGGGGGCTGGGGTGTCTCTTCCTGCTGTACAGAGTCACGGTGAGGCAGAGCCGACCCAGGGGCATCTGACACCACCACCAGGACTTGGGGAGCTTGATGGTGTGAAATGATAACATAATCTAATTGCAAAGGGGGAGAAAACATGATGGGTGCTTATCATATATTGGTGGAAATTTTAGTTGATTTCCTCCCAGTCTTTTTTGTTGCTACACAGATTTTCAAAGACAGCTAAAATTAAACTATATTTGTCAATATGACTACTGGCTTTTTAAAAATCATTTAATGTGTAGCACACATGCATTCCTTGTTGATAAAAATACCACCCACAGTATCTTTTGTTATTGTTGCAAACCCTGGGATAACACAACCTGTGCCAATTCAACACTGTCCTGTGTACAATTCAGTGGGCCCAACGTTATTGTAAAGAGCCGCCCAGCTGACCATTTGATGGCTCTAACCAAAGAGACCAACCTCACTGCCATTGAGTCAGTCTGACTCACAGCGGTCCGACAGGGCAGGAGAGAGTGGCCTGTGGGCTTCCGACGACGTAACTCTTGACGGGACTAGAAAGCCCGTCTTTCTCTGGTGGAGAGCCTGGTGGTTTCGAACTGAGGACCTTGTGGATCGCAGCCCAATGCATAATCACTGTGCCACAGGGCTCCTTTTAGGGCTATATCATAATATAATTCATCTCCTAATGTTGCATTGTTAGATTGTTTGTCATCCCTGCCCCCACTGTCCCCCTCCCCCGCTTCAATCCTGCGATCCTCATTTTAATGCATGATTCATTTGGAAGTTGTGCACCAGTACAGCAGTGTACTGTGATAATGTTAGCCCATCATTATGCAACCTCCGGCCCCCCCCCCGCCCCCCCCAGCCTCTCAACATCCTGTCTTTAACAATGCTAGAACTCTGGTGGCCTTTCTTCTACCCTAAGGCCAGAGAGACAGAGGCTCTCCCAGGCCTGCAGGAGAGCGCATCCAAGGAGTTTGGGGGGTTTCTTCCTGACTCCTTGCATGGTAATTTTCAAGCCTTCAATTGCCGATTAGCATAATACAATAAAGCTGCGGCGCGTCTGCCTGGCATTCATTCTTGGTTAAACATTATTAAATGGGGCTACTTGCCTGCTCTTTTGCTCCACGAGACGAGGTTAAAACAGAACCTATTAATTTAGCTGAAAAAAATTCTCACCAGACACATATGCACGTATAATTCAATTCAGTTCAGATCAATCTCTCTCAGTTCAGTTCAGTGGACACTTACCAGGGCTCTTCTGTGCCTGGCGAGGTCCTGGGTACTGGACAGATTGACTACCTAATCAGAGATGGCCTTCGGCCGAGGGACTTTGCAGGGATTTGACAGGCAATTGTGCCTTTGATTCGGAAGGACAGGTGAAAGTGCGTTTGGGAGGGCTGTGCAATCCCTTAGGTACCAGATTCCAGGCAGAGCGGTCAGAGTCAGCCATGGCTCTTGGGTCACCTGGGGAAAATGCAGGCCCAGAAGCACTGAGCTGGATGGAGCACCCAAGGGTGAACTCACTGCACGCGGTTAGGGTCTTGCATGATTTTCCTTTTCTTTTTTTGATGTGTAAGGAAGAACTTTTTCATCAAGGTGTAATTTTATATCAAAAAGGCATTCCAGTCCAGTCTAACTCAAGTCCAAGGGCCCAAGGCGAGGATCTTCACAGTCTTTGAGGACATATGTTGAGACCCTCGATTTTGGCTTTGAAACAGACAAATGTCTTTTTTTCTGTTCAGAAAATCACTACCTTGAAGATAAACAAAAAACACAAAGCAAACAAAACCCCAAAGTCGCTGCCCCTGAGTCGATTGCAACTCATGTGGTACAGTGGTGACTGTTGGGACGGTGAACTCTATGGTTGGCCGTTTGAAACTACCAGCCGCTCTGTGGGAGAAAGACACGGATCTCAATGCTGGTCAAGAGTGACAGTCTCAGAAACAACACAGGGCCAGTTCTACTCTGTCCCAGGAGGCCACTGGGTGATCTCTGGTACAAGTCTTGCCAACAAACAAGCAAACCAATAAACAACAACAACAAAAATACACTCACTGCCACCAAGTGGATTCCAACTCATAGCAACCCTGCACGTTGGGGTAGAATGCCTTTGGGGGTGGCCAAGACTGAAACTCCTCACGGGAGTAGAAAGCCCCATCTCTCTCCCACAGAGTGGCTGGTGGTTTTGAATGGTTAGTCTTGGGGTCAGAAGCCTGACTCTTAACCCACTAGACCACCAGGGCTACTCAATAAATCAAACCAGAGGGTGGCTTTGATAGAGAAAAGCATTCAGCGAGGACAGGTTTGAAGGACCGGCTGTTACTTCCTGCACCATCACTGGCTGGGCATTGCTGCAGCGGAGGGCAGAAGTTCTTTCTTTCACACCCGATGGACAGGTGGCAGGTCTTGTATGTTTGACTCGCTGGATGGCAGAAGTGCAAACACCCAGCCTTTGCTGGACATGCCTTGGACACTCGGTTCATTTTATTTTGCATCTGAAACAGTGACTCCCTTATAAGAGCCCTGCATTGCTCAAAGTCTAAACAAGAAATCTTGTTCAGACATTGTTTAGATCTTGGGGGTCGCAGCCCCGTGTGTAACCACTATGCCACCATGTTAGATGCTTAATAATAATAAAAATCAGCAAATAGTATTGGGCTCTTGCTTTGCATCATGCTGGCAAATGTAAATGGAGCCGTGGTAGTGTAATGGTTACTTGTTGGGCTGCGAGCCGCACCGTTGGGCCTTCAAAACCACTGGCAGCTCCATGGGAGAAAGACTGGGTTTCTACTGCTGTAAAAAGATGCGGTCTCAGAAACCCGCAGGGGATCGGTATGAGTCGGCAGTGATTTGGTGGCAGTGAGGGTTGGAGGGGTTTTTGGGGATCAAATTTAAAATAATTTCTTGAGAAGTCATTTCAGCACATGGTTTAAAAGTCACCCACTACCTCTTCTGAGAGGCTGCCACTCACTCTTCAGAGGTCTATTGAGTATGTGTGTTTGTAAATTTTTTTCCTTTGCCCTAAGAGTTTCATTCGCTAGTCTGAACTTTAATTTTTTCTAACTTAACATACGTGGGGGATTATCCCATTTAATAATCCAGAAAGCTACCATTCTTTCTGGTAACTGCATAATAGTCCAATGAGTGGATGGGTGGTCCCAACGGAGAGCCTCCTGTTGGTGACTGACGGTGTAGTCTTTGGCTCTTATAGACAAGGCCACAGACTATTCTGGGGGTGTGTAAGAAGGCTCATTTGTAGGATGGGGGTTCGAGAAGCTTGGGGAGAAATCCCACTACCTTTCAATTTCATTTCCCGCCACCTTTCTTCAGCCCCCTCGTAGGTGTGTGAGTGTGGGATCAAGACCTAACACAGACGAGCTGGACAGAGAGTGGGAGTGTTTTCAGACGGGCCCTGCTAACTTTCTGGCCCTGACTCTATCAGCCTGGCAAGCTGGTTCTCATCATTTCCATTTGTCATCTTTGACTGTTCATTGGTACTTGGGCAAACAGATTGTGCTTCAAAAATCAAATTGATTGATGGCCTGCCTGATAAAATCGAATGAAATTCAAATGATGGTGGATTAGAAATATGGAGAGTACTTAATATTAAGGGCCAACAGAAATCAAGCATGTATATATGAATGTATTATTTCTCTATATCCATCTATCCATTTGGCTTCTTACAGTTGCCAGCATGATGCAAATATGAAACAAACAGGTGCCCTGGTAGTACTGCTGGATAGGCATTGGACTGCTAACCATAAGGCCGGTGGTTTAACTCCACCAGCAGCTCCGAGGGAGAAAGGTGAAGCCACTGGTTCTCTGAAGGATTTACAACCTAGAAACCCTACACAGGGACTCTAAGACTTGGAATTGCCTTGACAGCAGTGGTTATGTACGTATGCCATGTATGTTATTTCAAGGGGTGGGCAAACATATGCATCCAACTCAATGATCAGTGTTGCCATGTTGTGTGTCCTAGGTCCCCAAAGTTGGCCGATCTTTGGGATCACCCGGAGATCTGGGGAAACCACAGATCCTGGGGCTCCTCCTGCTAGAGAGGCTGATTGATTAGGCTGCAAATGGAGCCTGAGGGCAGTAGTTTCACCAGATCCCCTGGTGATCTCAACATGGGCCAAGTTTGTGAGGTTGGGTTGTAAGCAACAAATGGTCCTCTAAGTGGGAAGTCCACGCTAACAATGAGCCTAATCCAGTGAACAGCAATGCCCTTCAGTACTGCGCTCAAGGACGACATCTGCTTTTCTAGCCACACATAGGATGTTCATGTTTCAATGACACTGAAACCACAGGAGTGTAATTAACATGTCAGATGTGATGTGATCTACACACAGACGCACGGCCGAGCCCTACGCAACCATGAATTAAGTCTTAGAATCTGTCACCGTCATTGGCCTCGATTTAGTAGACAAACGCCACTTGGAGAGAACAAGAAACGTAAGTAAGTGTCTCGGTTGAACATTCTCGGTAGTAAATTTCATCACGCATGCCCATCTTCACCAAGTGGGCCACAGTGCGTATCCACGCACATTTGGTTATACTCTGGTCGCTCGTCTTTGGCCATATGCTATTACTAACCAAGCCCTGGTGGCACAGTGACTAGCTGTGAGAGGTCGGAGGTTCAAACCCACCAGTGGCTCTGTGGGTTTGGCAAAGAAGACAGCTTTGGAAACCCCATGGGGCAGTGCTACTCAGTTCTATAGTGCTGTTACCAACTTCATGACGCAGGTTTGGGCTGGATATTTTTTGGGGGGGAGGGATGATTCATAACTATCCCTGTCATGTACTCCGGTTAGCAATAATGTGACCATAAGAATAAGTGCATCTTGATGATTTTGGGGGTGCGGGGGCATGGATTAATTTGGATGTCAGGTAACTACTATGAGTCTCGAGAATTTCTGGCAAATGCCCACAGTCATAGCCTAGTAGAGATTAATTAGCAGACGCTTAATGGACATTACGGAGAAACTTTCTTGCCTTTGGAGGGGAGGAGAGTGAATTGAGAAACCTGGGGAAGGGAAGGAGAGTTGCTTTTAATCCCCCGCTACAGGGACTCACCAGAGCCCCCCCTCCTCTTTTCTTGCACCCTGCTTTTCTGAGCGGCTAGGTGCGCCCAGCTGCAGAAGTGATTAGAATGCTCTGGCTTCTGTTTTGTTGCCTGCTTTTTTCATCTCAGATTGTGAGCGGTCTTCTGTGACTAAATATTTCTCAGCATTTTACATAGCTTCATGGATTGTCAAGTAAATATTTTGTAACTGACTTTAAAAGTGCTCTTCCTGGTGAGATACTGGGACTTGTTTATTCTACTATGATGGTTCTCTGTGTGTCTGTGTGTGTGTGAGAGAGAGAGAGAGAGAGAGAGAGAGAGAGTTCAGTGAGTATCCTGAGATCCAAAACCATTCCTTTACCGCTCCCTTAAGATTGAATTCCCAAGAGTGGAACTACAGATCAAAGAGTAAGGATATTTTTCAGGCACTGGTGGCATAGTGGTGAAGTTGTCCTGCTAACTGCAAGGTCAGAAGTCTGAACCCACCAGCAGCTCAACTGGAGAAAGACCAGGCTGTCTACTCCTGTGAAGACGTAGTCTTGGATACCCACAGGGGGCAGTTCCATCCTGTCCCATGGAGTCACCATGAGTTGGAATTGACTGGATGTCAGTGAGTTTGTTTGAGTTTTATTGCATAAATAAGTAAATAGATCACCCATTGAATAATGAATCATTTTTTATTCTCTGTAGCCACATCAGTGTTTTCTCCATAACAGACCAATGACAAGTTCCCCACACCCACAGTCTTTTCACTCTAATTCTCTTTAGGGTCAGGCATGGTGCACTTGGCAACTATTATCTCATTTAATTGTCACCACCACCCAGAGTAGTAGGTTGTTCTCCCTGTTTATGGATGAGGAAGTGAAACTCAGCATTTAAGTAGGATTGCCCCATCAATGTGGACTGGCCGGTTGGTGCCACAGGAGGAGACGGGGTGGGGATCCTGGGTCCCAGCGCTAGGCGGTAACAGGCTGTTTCTGTGGTGGCGCCATGGACATCATGGAGTGGCTACTCTGCCTTCCAAGGGAATGCTCTGGGATTTGTGGCATCTCTTGCCTTTACAAATGCTGAATTGTCACTGAAATCAAGGTCTCCAACAGGAGCCCTCAAGAGGTCTCCATCAGAGTGAAAAAAGGGGGCCGTGTGCCCAAGACAATGTTATGTGGCTTCTTAATAAGGATGAAAGAGAGAGAGAGAGAGACAGACAGACAGACAGACAGACAACGCAAGCAAATTTTTGGTAGGTCGACAGATTTTTTTCATTGAAAATGTATTGATCCTTCGAATACAATACCTCCAGAAGCTATCCTGAGGATGATATTCAAATGGAATTGCATTAATGTTCATGAAATACATTAAAAGATGAATTTAAAATAAAGACAAAATTCTGTACCCTTCATAGGGTTTAAACAAAACTCAACTGCCCACAACCATAGTCTCCTCCTTACCTGAAATAACAGTTTTATTGGCATTCCTAAGATGTTGGTAGAGAGTTGACCAAAGTTAAAAAACAATTAGACAATGTATAGTGTTCCTTAGAAATATCCGTTAAGTATATGCCATGCCGTGTTCATATTTATATCCCTAGCTCTTTGCAAAGTGCGTGGCACACTTTTTTTTAGAAATGTTCAGTAAACAAATGCAGTAGCCAAAGCAGACTAAAGATGCTTTTGAATGTAAATTCTAAGATGTTTGTCTCAACACCTGGTGCGACACACACCTTCATGCCTGGTGAGCTTCTTCCTGTGGAGAAGGCAGCCTGGGGAAGACTTACCTTCCGCATTGACGACCATGGTTCCAATGACCCCTTTGTGACTCTGGATCCTCTTCAGCGTCTCCTCCACCTCTGTCTGAAAGACAAGAAGCTCAGGAAACAAAAGGGTCTCGGGTGCCCAAACACAGTGTCCAAAGACACCCACTTCCTTACCTCTGTACACCAACGCACTGGACTCTACCATCATAGGGATTTGGAAGAGAGTTCTAAAATGGTCAAGTCCTACAGACAAGGCCACACAAGACCTCCTGGGTATACAACCCTGGGAAATGTCTCAGGGGCTTGAGCCTTTTAGAAGCAGAGAACTTGCCACCTCATAAGAGCTCTTTTCCATTTTATCACTTCTTGCTACCCTCCCTCCTTCCTCCCCTTCTCTTCTCTCTCAATTTTGTATAAAAAACGTTCTTCCCAGCAGACATCTATGCCAGATCATCTCCACACGTTGTTGCTCCATGTTCTCTGGCCCCATTAGTGAATTCCTTGTGCACATGATGCGGTTGGGGTTACGTGTCCCTGAGTCAGTGCCAGCTCACAGAGAACGACATGCACTGCCTGAGCCTGCACCACGCGACGCTGGAGTTCACTGCTGCAGCCACTGTGTCCATCCATCTTGTTGAGGGTCTTCCTCTTTTCTGCTGCCCCTCTACTTGACCAAGCAGGACGTCCTTCTCCGGGGACAGGTCTCTCCTGATGACATGCCCAACGTATGTGAGATGATGTCTTGCCATCCTGGCCTCTGAGGAGCACTCTGGCGGTGCTTCTTCCAGGACGGATTGGTCTGTTCTTTCCACATGGATAGCCCTTTGATCTTTGGAGAACAGCAGCACAGGAGCCCACTGTCTGTTCCTTTATGAATCAGTCCTGAATGGTACCTAACTGCGAGTCCATTGATAGACTATTCCATAGAAGCATAACTATAGCTTGGATTACATGGCAAACTAAACATTCAGCCATGAATGATTATGTTGAAACCCCATGACTGGGCTTCAAAACTTTCCGAATGAATCTTTTGTGTGTAGACTCTCTTCTACTAGGTTTATTTGCCTCAGACCTAGAGATGCGAAATTCAAGAACCATCTTTTTAAAACCTGCATGCTGTTCACAACTGGGTTATCAGGAGATGGTCTGCCACCGTCTGCAGTCCCTGGAGATGCATGTTTGTGATATGCATTGTTCTTTCAACATCACACAGGTGAACATTATGCTGCTTTAGTCAAAAGACCATTTCCTCTTGCACTTACTGTGGGCACACCCTGGGAACTCCTCCCCACTCCCTTGCCACACTGGGTAAGGTGTTTTCTGAGTGTCAGACATCCATGTATTAGATTCTGCTACCTCTGAAGCGGACAAGCTATCCCTTCTGTTAAAACAAAAC